CCTGAAATCCTTTGAGAAATGTCAGTGATGTGTTGCAAAATCCTGCAACTCCAATGGCAGGATGGATGCTTCAGTATCAGTGTTCTGACTCAGGTCAACATCCCCAGCATCGAGGCACTGGTTACTGTCAATCAAATGCATTATTGGGGCCACATCGTCCACACTCCTGACACAAGATTCTCAAACAAGCTCTGTACTCTGAGCCACATCAGCAGAAATGATCAGCAGGAGGGAAAAGGAAATGCTTCAAGGACATCCTTACATCTTGAATCGGTGTTCTCTGGTTACTGATGCTTGTACTGCGAGAAAGTTTCCTCTATTTAATCTACCTATGCAAGATCTTAAACAACTCTACTGCTTCTCCCCGAAACATTCTCTGCTTTAAAGGTTAACCTCTGATCTTCTCCAGACTCTCCATGACACTGACTTTGTTAATCCCTCGAATTACTGTATTGAAGTTCTTCTACAATCTCTTGAATTGTCAGAATTGAAGACAGTATTGTGGCCAAGTCTGAACTAGTTTTATGAACGTTTAGCATAACCGACTCATTCTTGAGTCTATGACCCTGTTAGAAAGCCAATAGTACCATGGGATATTTCAAACAGCTTCTTAATTTGTTCTGCCACCTTTAAGAATTTGATGATACGTAACCCCAAATAGTTCCCCTGCACCCACTTTACATTACCTCTTCTCATTCGTCTAACCCAAAATATCATGCATAGTATAACTTCTGCATTAAATTTCCTCTGCCAGGTGACTGTCGATTTCACTAGGTTATCTATGCTCTCCGTTTACTATCTTCTTACGTTTTCAGGTTTCATATTATTGGAAAATTTTGAAACATTACTCTTAACATCCCACTGATCATTAATAGACATCAAAACAAGATCCTAATTCTAACCACTGCAGAACACTACAAAGTGTTTTCCTCCAGTCAACCATTCATTATTACTTTCAACTTCAACAAAATTTTTTTAAAAGCAAGATATTTTCCAATCAACCTGTTGTTGTACACCTCTAAAGTTAATGTTAAATTTTATATTTTTCTAAGTACTAATTAGCTATGTCTCAGATTCCAGTGCTGATGAAAAGGTCATCAACCGGAAACTGTGGGGTCAACAGTAAATCCAGCATGACAAGCAGTAAGTTGCGAGTGTTATGGATTGCGGCAAGGAAACTAAGTGTCAGATCAAGCAGTCAAATAATTTTTATAGCACTGATTCATGTCAGAAGGAGCTGGATACCTGCTTATGACTGGCTGCCATCACTCACTAGACTCATGCTAATAGGCCTTCTGACACGTGATCTCTCTAATCTCTCTCTCTCCACCCCTAAAATTTCTGAACTGACCTAAATATTACTGCACGGTATCATTTTCCTCCCAACTGCTGGTCCAAGCATCACCACCGTATAGTTTTTTTTTAAAAAAAGAGAGATACTGATAGATGACATTACTGCTTTATTGGAATAATCGTATCACCAATCCACAAGGTTACTTAATGTATTGAGAGCTTTCAGTTTTATTTACCAGGGAGAACTCTGCTCCTTTTCAGAGTGAAAAGCAATTTTTTTTCCCCCATTCACTCAACACAAAGCTGCTTGGTGAAAATGTGAAATATGCACATTTGCAGATGACACAGAACTTAGAAGTAATGTAAACTATGAGGAGGAGGACAGTGTAGAACTCCAAAAGGACATCGTCAAGTTCAAAGGAGTGGGTAGAGAGGTTGCAGCTGAGGTTTAATGTAGAGAAGTGTGAGGTAACAAATGTTGGCAGGAGGAACATTGAAAGATGATAAAAATTCGTGGGTACAATTCTAAAGGGATGCAGGAGCACAGGGATCTGGATGTACATGTACACAAATCATCAGAAGTGGTGGGTAGAGAGAGCAGTAAATAAAGTAAACAGCATCCTTAGCTTTATTAATAGGGACATGGAGTAAAAGAACAATGTGGTCAATATTAACTTTGTCTCAAACATAAGGCTCAGCTGGAGTATTATGCACTATTATAAGAAGAATGTGGATGCATTGGAGGGAATGTAGGAGCGAAAGACAAGAATCCTTCTAGCCATGAGAAATTTCAGTTTAGAATTGACTGAAGAGGATGGGACTGTTCCACTCAGAGAAGATGGCTAAGATGAGATCTGATAGAGGTTTTCAAAATCACGAGTGGGCTGGATAGAATAGATAGGCACAAACTGTTCTCTGCTTGTGTAAAGGAACAAGAAGAGGACACAGATCGAGTGATTTGCAAAAGAAGCAAAGGTGATGCAAGAAAATTGTAAGTTGTTAGGGTACGGAATGCATTGCCTGAAAGTGTGGTGGCGGCAAGTTCTATTAAGGCATTCAAGAGGGCAATGGACAACGACTTGGATAAAAGTAATGTGCAAAGATTTGGGCAGATAGCAGGATATTACCTAGTACCAACAGTGTTCATTCGAAGAGCTGGAGCAAGCACAATGGGCTAAATGGCCTTATTCTGTGTCATAACACTTCTGTGACTGATTCTGTGATGTACAGCATGTAGTCAAGAAAGCTGTTGTGACGCTATCTTTTATAACGAAAAGGAATTGAACTTAAAAAGGGTGTTATGCTTCAGTTATATAGGGCATTAGTGAGAACACATCTTGAATACTGTGCATAGTTTTGGTGTCCTAATTTAGGAAAGCATACAAATGTGTTAAGAGATGGTTCACAGTAGGCTTACCACCTTGATACCTGGAACGTGCAGTTGTTTTAAAAGGACATTTTTCAACACAATGGGCTTGTTTCCATTGGAGTTTAATAAAGTGAGGAGTGGCTTTTTAATTAAAGCGTGAGAAAAGGATGTTACCTCTTGTGCACCAGACCAGAATTTGGAGGCAGTGTTTTCAAATTAGGGTTGCTCTTTCAGACCAGAGAGGAGGAGAATTTTTCTCTGAGGGTTGTGCAACTTTGGAACTCTCTGCCTCAGAAGATGGTTATTGAATAGGTTTAAGACTGCTTGCAAAAATTTTATTCAGCAGGGGAACCAAAAGTTATTGAAAGAAGATGGGAATGTGAAACCCAAAGCACAAACTGATCACGCATGAACTAATTAAATGGTGGAACAAGCTCGAAGGGCCAAATAATCTACTTTTGCTCCTATTTCGTATGTTTGTATTATTAATTCAATAGAAAGCCATTTTTGCCCCTTCAAAATGTTTTGTAACAAGAAAACAACAGTATTCCAAAGCCACAAGTAAGTTGTATAACTATTTTAACACCTAACTTTTTTTTCCCCCACACCAAAATTGTTGCTAGCAGCATCCTGGAGATTAATCCTCAATTCCAGGAGGTTACAGATTGATTGACTGATGGTCACGTGTACCGAAATACAGTGAAAAGCTTTGTTTATGAGCAGTACAGGCAGATCACAACAAAGGATGTACAGATCAAAAAGACTTAGAGGCGTACAGATTACATTATTTGAGGCTAGAGTCCATTCATCAGTCTGATAATGGCCAGAAACAAGCCGTTCCTGAACTTGCTTATGCATATGTTCAGGCTTCGGTATATTCTGCCTGAAGGAACAGGTTGTAAGAGGTCATTATCAGGGTGTAATGGGTCTTTGATGATGGGCAAGCTTGGACAGTTGGCAACCCGAAGTATGGCTGAGTGTTTCTTGCTACTTGTCCTCTTAATTCCCCTTGTTCCCACTCTGACCTGTCCACGGCCTGTTACAGGGTTTCATAGGAACAGGAGTAGGCTATTCAGCCCCTCAAATCTGTTTCAGCATTCAAGGAGATCGTGGCTGATTTGGGACTTAACTCCACATACCTGCTTTAACCCATATCTCTTAACACCTTCACTTGGCAAGAATGTTTCCATCTCAGATTTAAAATTAATAATGGATCCAGCATCCATTGTCGTTTATGGAAGAGAGTTCCAAACATCTCCCACCTTGTATGTGAAAGTGCTTCTCAACATCTCTCCTAAGCGGACTGTCCCCAATTCTCAGACTATGCCCGTAGTTCTAGAATCCCCAACCAATGGAAATAGGTAATCTTTATCAACCCTAACTTTCCCTGTTAATATCTTGAAGGCTTTGATCAGATTACTCCTTAACCTTCTAAACTCCAGAGAAATCTAGAGTTTCAATCATTAATTCCAAAGACACTGGTACTGAAGAACTGTTCGTCAGTTTGACAAATGATCTTTGATAGAAGCTACTATTTATGAAACAACTTCTCTGGAATTACCCCATCAAATTATTGTTTGTAAATTAAAAATTTACTTCATTAATTCAGGAAAATCAGTAATAACTGTCAAATTCGCACTTTAAGACAGTAATTTTCAAAAGGATTATGCCTGAGCAGGCTTGCTTTCTTTTGTAACATTCTTCCCAGTGCAATCCTTGAATATTACCGACTAACCTCAGAATGATACCATTGTATTAGGTACAATGTAATCATATTCCTTTTGAATCTGCCAAGCAAAAAAAAAGGTCATTTTACTCTAATTAAATCACAGCCTTCTCTTTTGCACATCAATCAACAAGGAACTCCAATTTCAATTACCAGTTAAATAAAAGTATTCATCTCCATCCAGTCAATTTCATTTCTCCCCCAAGTCTGCTTAAATAGCTGCTTCTGTCTTAATAAATCCTGTCTCATTCTTTTTACTGAAAATGTCAAAACAATCTAAATTGTGAGGGCTTTTATTATAATTAAAAGCAATGATTTTCTTTAATTCAATTTATTTAAGAAGAGGAAATTGCTGCTGATCAAGTACAATTGCAATGCTTCTCTAGACAAAAAAAACAAAAGAACATCAATAAAGTAATTTATGAAAGCCTTCACAATATGGGCAACAAAGTGGGAGTCTTTTTTGCTAGATAATCAGTAGGTTATCAGGCCAGAAAACGCTGCCAAAATGCTGATAAGAATGATGTGCAGGTATATTTTTCATGGTTATTAAACACAGCAATTGTAAGTCAATCACAGTTATAGTTTCAAGGCTTTAGTCATTTAATTCAGTCAAATCTGTCGTTTGACAAGTGTTTCGAAGGAAATATGATATCCCTAATAGAACAAAAAAGTGAACCAGTTAAAATTTTATGACAGCCTGGTTTCATGGTAATCATTACTGATCCTAGTTTTACATCCAGATTTTACTTAATTGCTTGATCTTCAATTTCTCAGTTACCATTATGGAATTTGAATTTGCAAGTCTATCAGAAAGAATGTGCGGGCATTGGACAGGTGAAATTCTCAGGCATTCAAGACATTCCGGCCAAAACCTCCCTGTACGAGAGCAATGTCACAGTCTTCTGCTTGAATCCATGGTCGGTGCGCAGACCAATAACATCTGTGGCTAGCTTGAATCCATTTCAGGAACAAAAGGTAAATCATGGCAAAAACAAGGCCATATTGTTTTTTGGGAATAAAGCTGATTGCCAATTTGTGCCAGTCATCGGATCAGATTATCAGACAGTGCTGGGGACATAATTGGGAAGAAGTATTGTTTGGAGGAGCACGTAGCTATGGTGAAACTAAAACTGGCTATGTGGGACAGACACTCCCAATCTATTGTGGTAACAACATAGTCATAAAGTTGTAGTTGGTGTTGCTGAGGAAATCACAGTTCTGGGCCCATTCTGATTCATGGGCCATAGGAGTCCCTTTAGCTTTCGTCAGTTTTGTATGAAGGTCGAAAATGGACCATTTCAAAGTGACTCAAACGTCAGGCACTTCAATCACTGTTTTTTAAAAATTATTTAGATTTTGTGCCCTGAGCAATATAGTGGCATATTGCAAGACAATTTTGTTTTTAAAAAAAAGCATATTTTAAATATTTATTTACATAACTTGCGCTGTACTGTTCTATGTACTATGTTCTATAACTCAATGTAGAAAAATATCCTAAAGATGATTGACAGGAAACAGATAATTTTTGTCGTACATTTTGACAATGAATACTTAAAGCTATTGCTATTGAAGCGTTTGATCCAGGAGTAACTGCTTGAAGTTGAAACCTGAACATGTACAGGCAGTCCACTTTCAAATAAAGTATGACATTTTTAGGAACTAATGTAATGAAATTACCAAAGACTGTCCAAACTCCAGGGCCAAACCTTGCTGAGTAGTATATTTTGCAGAATATGCTGTTACTTAGATTTTATCCTGTATTATTCAGCTCAAAATTTCTCTATGGCATAGCCTGATTCACAATGTCAATAAGAATGGATGTGACAAGGGCAACAGGTCATTTAAGACCTCCATGAATGGCGAGTCCAATAATCTACTTCCTTCACTGTTAATGATCAAGAATACAGGAACAACTTAAAGGCGCAAAGTGAAGTGGGTGAATTAAAAGTCAAATCAGACACTGAGGCAAAAATAAAGAGAAGAGAAAGAACAAACAATGGCTTGAGACAGGAAGACTGAAGATAGAAAAATAATGTAAAAAAAATAAGTGCCCCAGAGGAATTAACTTCATAAATTTTAAGACTGAGCATCAACCTGTAAATTCTTCCAACACATACCAATGGTAGGTTGCAAGAACGTAACTCATTAAATTAATTGTTTTTCAAAAAGTACAAACAGACATCTCTTTACTTGGGTGATGGATTACAACTCGGGGTGGCTCAGTAGTTAGCACTGCTGCCTCAAGCACCAAGGGCTTGGATTCGATTCCAGCCTCAGGTGACTGTCTGTGTGGAGTCTGCACGGGTTTCCTCCCACAGCCCAAAGATGTGCAGACTAAGTGGACTAGCTATGCTAAATTGCTCATATAGTGTCTAGGATGGGAAATGCGAGGTCAGAGTAGGGCATAGGTCTGGGTGGGATGCTATTCAGAGGGTTGGTGTAGACTTGATAGGCCGAATGGCCTGCTTCCACACTGTAGGGATTCTACGATACAAATGTGGAGCAGGAATAGGCCATTAAACCCTTCAGGTCTGCTCCACCACATTCATAGAGTTCATGGCTACCTACTCTTGATGAGGTCTCACCCCCATGCTTAATATGACTCTCTCTACTGTTTCAAAGACTCAAAGACTCTTTTCAAAGACTCTTTCTGAAAAGGTGGCGGAAGCAGAGTTCCAAAGACTCACGATTCTTAGAAAAAAAATCCAACCTTATTTTTGAGAATGGGCGTCCCATAATTTTAAAGAGTAATCCCTAGTTCCACATTCTCCCACAAAGAGGAAACATCCTTTCACATATACCCTGTCAACACCTCTCAGGATCTTGTGTGTTTCAATCAAGTCAACTCTTATTCTTCACTTAGTGGATACGAACCTTGCCACACCAATATTTTCTTACAAGACAACCCACTCATTTCAGATAAACTTTTTCTGATCTACTTCCAACATATCTGCATCCTTCCTTAAATAAGGCAACTAATACTTAGCACAGTATTCCAAATAGGGTGGGGTTGTTCCTAACTAGGGGGCATTTTTTTTTAATAAGGTGAGAGGAGAAAGATTTAAAAAGGACACATTGGGACAAATTTCTTACACTGTGAGTAATTGGTGTGTGTGGATTGAACTGGCAAAGAAAGTGGTGGATATAGGTACAGTTACAAACTTTAAAAGATATTTTGATAAGTTAATGAACAGGAAAGGTTTGGAGGGATATGGGCCAAGCGCAGGCAGATGGGACTATTTTAGTCTGAGAACATGGTCGGTATGGACTGGTTGAACTGAAAGGTCCATTTGCATGCTGTATGACTTTGTGTGATCTCATCAATGAGAATATACCCCTCTACTTTTGTATTCAATTCCTTATCCTTATCCAATTCAAAGCTTAACAGGACTTGCAGCTTCTCAATCTTGCTTCTCCAGCTACTTTCTCTAACTTCCAAGAGGCATAGAGCAATGGGTTCCTACTTATAACATCTCTGGCTTATTGGTTAAAAGCCACAACTTCAGAGCAACTAATGAGGGGAAATAAACTGGATTTCTTCAAGCTTCAAGGAGGTTGAATGCTGACCTCAGAGGTTTATAAAATCATGAGGGATATAGACAGAGTTAAAGGGAGGTGCCTTTTCTCTAGGATGGGGAATTTCAAGACTAGGGGGCATATTTTTAAGGTGAGAGGAGCAAGATTAAAAAAAAGACATGAGGGGCAAACATTTTACACAGAGTGGTTCGCATGTGGAATGAATGTCTTGAGGAAGTGGTGGATGCGGACACAGTTACAACATTTAAAAGACAGACACTTAGATAAGTACATGAATAGGTAAGGTTTGTAGGGATATGGGCCAAGAGCAGGCTTGAGGGACCACTTTAGTTTGGGATTATGTTCGGCATGGACTGGTTGGACTGAAGGTTCTGTTTCCATGCTGTATGACTATGAGTCTATGGAGGTGGTTCACAGTTGTTGGCACACTGGAGGCCTTTGTTATCAACATCTGGTCATCATTCCATAGACAGAATCAGCTAGCTACTTGTTGCCAGCCAAATCATACTCCCTAATTCTGGCACAACTGCAACTAAACCTCCCTCACTGCATGAACAAATGTTTTTACTTTCAATCAGAGATGAACTTTACTCTGCTATTAACACCTACAGTGGACCAATTTTTTGATTTTTTTTCCCCTCTATTAACGTTCCCCTTCACCGGTTTTCTGTGGCGCCTTTGATTGCTAATCTCCCTTGTCCTCTTAACCATTCCTTGGTGTTCCACTTGCCTCTTCCACTTATTTCAAAAACAAAATCTATTGCATTTCCACCTCTCTTTAGTACTGAAGAAGAGCTATGTTGGACTCCAAGTATTAACACTGTTGCTCTGTGGTGTTACTACCAAGCCTGCTGAATTTCTGCACCGTTCTCTGTTGCCGTTTCAGATGGCAGAATTTTGTTTTTATTTTTACAGAACTATCTCCAGGTTATGGAGATCATGTCTAGTCTGGTTGGAATCATATCATATACTGGATAAAGTCATAATATCTTCAGTTTTTATTAGGTATCAAATAGTTCTAAAATGATCAACTGATCAAATAACATAGTTGCTATCCTAACAGATGCACTTCGACCTAAGTATTTCTGGAGCTTTTTGTTTTAATTTCAGATTTTAAGCTTTTGCAGCATTTTGCTTTTACATGTTTGGATTCAAAATCTACAAATTATTGATTCTTTTATCATACATTAACATTTTAAAGCACTGAAATTGTACCACAAAACAGAAGCAATTGGGTCTTGAAATATTCCACACTTTGGAACAGCTTGAAGGTACTCAAAAGTTTGCAAATTAATGTTTGTTAACAAGTTGGACTAGTGACTTATAGGTACTTACACACAATTAGATGTGTTTTCCAATTTTCCACTACAATTCATACCCATTGTACAAAATGAACCGTTGCAATTTTATATAAGAATTCTCTATAGCATTCCTTAAAACTTTGTGATATCATATATAACCAGATAAGCAAACCGAGGATTACTGTATAACACTAGTAAATCAGGAATTAGTCATCATGTAAATTCATTTTAGAATGAATACTGGGAGAAATCTTTTCAAATACTGTAACTTACCACACCAAGCTTTTCAGAAGCGTTAGCCTTCCACAAACGGATATTCATTTCATCAGAACCACAAAGTATATACTTGTTATCAGCAGACCACTTTATACACATGACGTGCTGCATACGTTTTGTATGGTACACCTCCCTAGAAGATAAAATTGTCATATTTATCAAAACATGATGCTAACAAAGACAGAAAGCCTAAAGTGGATCAATAACACAGAAATAAATCAACACACAGTGGGTGCTCCTATAGGTGAGGGCAACATAAAATGCTAAATGCATCAACTTTAGAATAATGAATGGCACATTTTCTCAAAATAGCATGTCCATGTCAGGAATTTTACAACCTAAACCACATAAGAACACTAAGTACACAAATTGGCATCCTTACTGTAGCACTACAATAAGTTAAAATAACTGGAATGTAGTTCATATGTAAGACAAAACATATATATGGCAAAGAGTATTTATTAACACAGTTAGAACCAATAAAAATGGAAATTTCTGAAATCAGACGAGGAAAATGAGTTAACATTTTCCAAGTTGGCATTAAATGGTTTCATATTAAGTTCAGATAACAGCAAATTTAAACAAGTGCCACTTTCATCTGATTCTGAACAATTCAGGATTCGTTAAAAGTAATCTTGAGTAAATACAATGACATTTTGTTTTGTCTAAAGTATATCTGTGAATACTTCTTACATTCAGGTATAGTGCCTTTAGCTTTAACTTTTTCAGGCAGTCTCCTGAGGCACTAATAACTTATTCCTTTCTGTTATCCTTAATGTCCTTCCTGACCCACCTGACATACTTTACACAAAGCCTTGCTTGGTTGTAGATCAAACTTCTAAAACTACTCTTCCCCCACCATTATTAGTGTAAAGCCCCATGTAATGAAATCAAAACAAAATAAATCTAACAAATGTACTTGTCAAAATTGAACAATTTAAAAAATTAAGTTTAAGATTAAATACCTCACTAAGTAATTAGAATTGTATACAGAATGATCTAGGACTTTCCTGTTGAACGACAAACATCAAATTCTGTTGATTTTAGTCCCAGAAATTTATACCTCTCAAATTCTAAACACCTAGTTATAAGGAGGTTATTTTATTCAAAGCAGCACACACAATTGATAGTACTCGGTGGCAGGATGTGTAGAAGTTCACTTTTCTTAAATCTTAATCCAACTATAAATCGATCATCAGAACTAAAGTATCATTAAGTAAATACATGCAAACCTCACCATATTATTTTATGCATTTAGGATGTTGTCAAATGCTACTTTAGGGGATTAGAAATTTCGTGACATGGTTTTGACTGCTTGCCATGTTGTCTGTTGTTGTTTACCTTAATGCTAATTTAAATCTCCACCCCATTCAAACTATGTCTTCCCTAATTTCTGCCTCTAACATTATACAGATGAAATATAATTGATGCTATAGAAGGGCACATCTTCCTTTGATTAAAACTTTATGACTCAATATTATCAAAAAAATTTCAGATGAAATCAGTGTCCGCATTTCTTCAAAGAGCCAAAGCTTGTAATGATTCTCCGAACTACTCTAAACTGATCCATCAAGTTGAATTTGATGATCAGCACTGAAGCAATGGCGCCCACTGCTAAATGTAAAGAACTGTTCTAGCAATCACTGTGGAATAGTCTTCTCCTTTCTCAATGGAAGTTTAACTCTGGCACAGAGATCAATCCAACACAGCAATGTCAGCAAACAGGATAAGTAGCAAATGACTATGAAACATTTCACAATGAACATTTTTAAATTGTTCAATTTGGACAAGTACATTTGTTAGATTATTTTGTTTTGATTTCATTACATGGGGCTTTACACTAATAATGGTGAGGGAAGAGTAGTTTTAGAAGTTTGATCTACAACCAAGCAAGGTTTTGGGTAAAGTATGTCAGGTGGGTCAGGAAGGACATTAAGGATAACAGAAAGGAATAAGTTATTAGTGCCTCAGGAGACTGCCTGAAAAAGTTAAAGCTAAAGGCATTATATCTGAATGTAAGAAGTATTCACAGATATATTTTAGACAAAACAAAATGTCGTTGCATTTGCTCAAGATTACTTTTAACGAATCCTGAATTGTTTAGAATCAGATGAAAGTGGCACTCGTTTAAATTTGCTGTTATCTGAACTTAACATGAAACCATTTAATGCCAACTTGGAAAATGTTAACTCATTCTCCTCGTCTGATTTCACAAATTTCCATTTTTATTGGTTCTAACTGTGTTCATGAAATACAACTGAACTTCACTTTTGAAAATAATGAGGACAACTAAATATACTCATAGAAAACAAAGTTTTCATACAAATTAAATGACTGCTTTAAATTAACATTCATCCCCAAAATGTAGCATCCTTCATCAGAACAACTCCTTAAATATTTTTTAACTTATAAATTTAATATAATCACTTTAAAACAATAACAAATTCAGATTGTTTTACTTTTTTTTTTTAATTATTTTTGATTAACTCATGGAATAGTACACTGTTGGAAATTTCAGCCTTAGGGAAGCAATTTATCCAGACTTAGGCATTAAACAATCATAAAGGCAAAAGAGAAGGCTATTTCATCCATCAGGTTTATAGGTTTTCTATGAAGCAATCCAATCAGCCCCATTACCCACTCTATCCATGCAAGTTTATTTTCCTCAAGTCTAATTCAATTTACTTTTGAAACCATTGATCGCCTCCGCTTCTAGGCCATCATCCCTTCAGGTTGCTCAACTACTGCATAAAAGTTCTTCTTCACATCTCCTGCATATCATGTAAGGTAGATTTTTGATAGAAAAAGGAAGTCATGGGTTACTAGGGGCTAGCAGAAGATTGGACCCAAAGTTACAACTAAGTTAGCCACAAATGGTGGAACAGGTTTGAAGGGACAAATGGCCTCCTCCTTTGCTTACGTTCAAGTTCCTAAAAATATTAAATCTGCTTTTCTAAGCCCCTTTAACAACTAGCCAATGTGAACAGATTTTCTCTGTCTACCTTATGCAAAGGTATACAAATCTTTTGAGAGATTGTCCCTTAATCTAACTGGCTCAAAAAGAGAACAACTTCAGATTCTCCAACGTAATCATGTAGCTAAAAACTCCTCATCCCTGGAACTGTTCTGGTAAGTCTCCTCTGCTCCCCCTCAAAACTTTCACATCTTTGCTGAACTTCAGTAACCAGAACTGGATACAATAATCCTAGTTGAGTCCTTACTAGAGCTTTATAAATGTTTAGCATAACTTCAGAAGTTCTATGAAGCCAAAGATCCCTTATGTCTTCCTAATAACTTTATCAAAATATCTCACCACCTTCAAAGTTCTATGCATATGAACAGTGACTGCGCACCCTTTAGAAACGCGCCTCTAAATGCAACGGCATATTAGTGATCCATAAAGTCTTGTAGGCTATCTCACTTTTACATAGTAACAAACCAACACCCCGCTACCCCATGCTTTAAGCGCATAGTATATGAATGCAGCTTTTTGTAAGATTAATGGCCTGGAGTCTGCGGTCAGCGGTGAATCGAGGCATTCACAGACTTTGAAGTAAGCCTCGCTAAGAGATCTCGTTATCTCTGAGATCTTAATCATCATTGTCATGTGGTGGTACAACAACTGATTGCTTCATTTGTTACTGGGCATTCCTGGTGTGAAGGTGATCAATCTACTCAAGCAGCCAATCACAAGAAATAGCTTCACAGAAATCCCTTGCCCAATCAAAACAGAAAACAAAAAGCAACAAAGTAACAGCATTTTCAAAAATTTATTTGTAAAGAACAAATTAAAGAATAGGGTACAAACATGGGGTGAAGACACGAGTTAAAAAATTCTGTAAAATCTTACCTAATAATTAACTTAAAGGTACAGGTAGTGGCATTGTAACAATGTCACTGAACTAGTAATCAAGAGGATCAGGTTAATAGTTCGACTAAATCTGGACTGTCAAGTCAGTGTCAGTAATAGTGATCATTAAACAATCATATGTTCTTACAAAAGTCGATTTGGTTCACTACATTCTTAATGAGGGAAAGCTGCTATCCTTTCCTATAAAGGGTTGACCTACAATGTGACTCCAGGCAAAGTCATATGTTAGACTCTTAAAAATGGTTTACAAAACCATTCAGTTCAAGGAAAACTGGGATGGGCAGCAATGCTGGACTCATTAGCAACACCCACATCCCATTAAATGACAGAAAAAAAAACAATACAGGTCATTTAAACTTTCTTAATCACTTTGTCCTTATAAACCCAGTAACAGGTGATTGAATAAAGTTTAACTTTTTAAAATGGGGTTCTGACAACACTGCGGGAGCAAAAGAGGGAGGCTCTCACTCATTTCAAATGATTGCTGACTCAGAGGAAATTTTACAGCACAGCCCAATTGCCTGTAAGTGGCACTCAAATTAAAAGGTTGCTTTTCAGAATGGGAGCTTGTGACCAGTGCTAGGTCCACTGCTATTCGTGATTTATATAAATGAATTGGGTGTCAACATAGGAGGTATGGTTAGTAAGTTTGCAGATGACACCAAAATTGGGGGTGTAACGGACAGCGAAGAAGGTTACCTCAGAGTTCAGCAAGACCTTGATTGCATGGGCCAATGAGTGGCAGATGGAGTTTAATTTAGATAAATGTGAAGGGCTGAATTTTGGAAAGGTAAATCAAGGCAGGACTTATACTGTTAATGGTAAGGTCCTGAGGAGTGTTGCTGAATGAAGAGACCTTGGAGTGCAGGTGCACTGTTCCTTGAAAGTAGAGGCGCATGTAGACAGGATAGTGAAGAAGGCATTTGGCATGCTTGCCTTTATTAGTCAGTGCATTGAGTATAGGAGTTGGGATGTCATGTTGTTCCTGTACAGGACATTGGTTAGGCCACTTTTGGGGTACTGCTTTCAATTCTGGTCTCCCTGCTATAGGAAGGATATTGTGAAACTTGAAAGGGTTCAGAAAAGATTTACAAGGATGCTGCCAGGATTGGGGTGTTTGAGCTAAAGGGAGAGGCTGAATAGGCTGGGGCTATTTTCCCTCAAGTGTTGGAGCCTGAGGGGTATCTTTATAGAGGTTTATAAAATCATGAGGGGCATGGCTAGGATGAACTGCCAAGGTATTTTCCGCAGGGTATTAGAGTCCAAAACTAGAGGGCATAGGTTTAAGGTGAGGGGGAAAGATTTAAAAGGGATCTAAGAGGCAACTTTTTCACTTAGAGGGTGGTGCGTGTATGGAATGAGCTGCCAGAAGTGGTGGAGATTGGTACAATTAGAATATTCAAAAGGCATCTAGATGGGAATATGAATAGGAATAGTTTACAGGAATATGGGCCAAATGCTCACAAATGGGACCAGATTAATTTCGGATGTCTGGTCGGCATGGACAAGTTTGGACCAAAATGTCTGTTTCCATCCTGTACAGCTCTATCACTATAATTCTAATGCCCTCTTGAATGCCACTAATGCATCTGCCTCCAACACACTTTCTGACTGTGATTCAGTCAAGTGGTTGGGTTAGAAGCAGCATCCAGGGCATAGAGAAAGTATTTTATAGACAATGTGAATGCCGACTTTGCTCATCAGTATGATTTCAATCTCTGGAATCCATACAGGATTTCAAATTGACATTGTTATCCTTCAACACAGCCTTAAAGCCAGGATCAGTCAGCTACTTCCCATGGGCTGCGCTGGCAATTGCAATTTGTTATCAATGGCATCACCTCCTTCCCAGTTAGTTGACGGCTGAATCTTCACCACAGTCTGCCCTGTTCTGCCTTATGCAAAGATACAATGGATTGATGCAATTAACCGGTCATCCATTTTCTCCTTGCTTCCATCTACTATTCTTTCCCTCCATTCTTCCTTCCAGTAATTATCTTTATCTATACTAATGATGTGAAAAATTCCATATTATTCTCTGATGTTACACACTATTTTGTCCCATCATTTCCAGCAGTTCCTCATTAGTTTTTCTGTTTCTGTACAAAGTGAGCATCACCCTATTTGTCCAAATTTTAAAACACATTCTCTCACAAATTTAGGTACAGCCATATAGACAAAAATTTGTTGCCCATCCCGAGTTATTTGAGGTGGCAGCAGTGAGTCACCTCCTTGAACTGCTACAGTCCACGTGGTGTAAGTATACCAACAGTGCTGTTAGGCAAAGATTTCCAAGATTTTGACTCAACGACAATGAAGAAACAGCAATATAGTTCCAAGTTAGATAAGAGGAAAGTATTGCAGATCTGAAATAAAAAGTGCAACAGAAACTCAACAAGTCAAGCAACAGCCACAAGTAGGGAGACTTACCATGTAGAATCAAATATAACTCTACCACAAAAAACTGAAGAGGGCTGGAAAACTATTACTTTATGTTATTGACAGAGGGAACAGGAACAGCAAGTGACATACAGATGGTGAGGGCTCGCAGAGCAGAACATGAGCTGACAGAAGGTAAGTGATATAGATAAGGAATACGTGCTAGTAGTAGAAATAGTAGATTTCTACACTGAATAGTAGAAAGTAGGTCACTTTGCAGAGGGTGAATGCATGCAAATGAGACATGATGGGATAGGGAAGGGGAGGAAGACATTTTATCAAAATGGAGAACGGTGTTCATCTTCTGAAGTTGTTGTACTGAAACGTGGGTCTTAAAAACTACAAAGTGCGTAAATCAGTGCTGCTCCTCCAGCTTGCACGTACTGCTTGTACTTTGCTGGAGCACTGTAGCAACTATAGCACAATAGCAAGTCAGTGTGTTGAAAAGGCAATAGTTAGGATGTTGACTTGGATGAAGAGGCTGAATGTATGGTTGATACCTTTGCGTCATCAGCAAACGTAAACAGGAAAGTAAGTTGAGAGGAGGGCATGAGGAGGATGCAGATAGGTGAAAGGTCAAAAATGTGGGAGATGAAGCATAATGTGGCAAACTATGAACTTGTTCACTTTCCCAGAAGAAATGAAATGCAGTCTCTTATTCAAACAGAGACAGTGCACGAGAGTGACTGCAAAATGCTGAGATATAGCGGGATCTGGTACATGCATCATAAAACATCGAATGCAGCCGCAATCGTTTAGAAAGGTAAATGGAATGTTGCCACTTATTGCAAGGAGAAATGGATTATAAAAGTAGCAAGTTTAATTGCAGTTGCACAGGACGTTTTTTAAACCAAATCTAGACTACAGTGTACAGGTGAACACGATGGGTCTGTATCGATTGGAATTTAAAAAGAATGAGGGGTGATTTATTAAAAGGTGCAAGGCCATAAGTGGACTCCACTGGGTGAATGCTAAAAGGGTGACTCATTTTGTGGGAAAGACTAGAACTAGGGAACTCAGTTTACAAATAAGTGGTCTCCCATTTAAGATGCCAACAAGAAGAATTTTCTTCTTGCAGGGTGCAATTGCTCTGCCCAGGGGAACTATGAGGGCAGTGCCCATAAGAGATAGGAGTAGAAGCAGGCCATTCTGCCCATTAAGACTTCTCCACCTGCTGATCATGGCTGATCTGATAATTGTCAACTCCACCTTCCTGCTTTTTCTCCATAAACTTCAATTTCCTTACTGATTAAAAATGTGTATCTTAGCCTAAAACATACACAACAGATTCTTGACTGACAAGGAGTCAGGTAAGCAAGAACGTAGTTTTGAGACGATAAGCAGATCAGCCGTGATCTTGATGAACAATGGAGTAGGGGGCTGAATGGCCTACTCCCACACCTAATTCACGTTATGTTCATGGTTTGGAGGTATGGCAGTATTCCATATAACTGCTGCCCTTGTCCTTCTAGGTAGAGCTTGCAGGTTTAGAAGGTGCTATCAAAACAGTCTTGGTGAGTTGTCGTAGCGTATCTTGTATGTGGTACACGCTGTTGCCCCTGTGGAGGCATGGCCAGATGTAATCAAAGTAATCTTACAGGACACGATGATGTGAACCCAGATCAAGTGTAGGTTGTATTTCAATTGAAAAAAAACCAGGTCGGAAAAGGAGATTAAAAAAGTCAAAATTCTGAAGAAGAGTCATTGTACTCGAAACATTGCTTCTGCTTCTCTCTCCAGAGATACTGTATGACTTGCACATTTCCAGCACTTTTTTAAATATCAAAGTCAAAATTGGATAATATTCTGTAGTGCACCTCTCTCACTGTGTATTTAAGCACACTCCATTTACATCAGCCCTCACAATTAGTTTCTTTCCTGCTGCAGCATGTAGTTTTAAATATTACAGCCTCACTTGCTCCCTTTCGCTATCCACCACAGCTGGCCACTCTATTCTCGAAATGTGATAAGTTCACCTCATTCAAAGAGCACCTCCTTCATGAGTGCTGTTTACAACTGACACTTCATCCACTGGATCCACACCTGCTTTAGGACCATAGCTCTAATATAATGCTACTGCAGAACTCCAGAAGAGTGAGATTCAGAGATGCACTCTCAGACTGGAAATGTTTAACCGGCAGAGAAGCACTGGCAATTAGAAGATTACTTGATAACGTGGTGTGATGACAATTGATTATTTCAGTCTTGAAAATTTCAACTGACTCAGAATCCATATATTGAAATGCCCAGATTTACGGGGTCACTTGTATCCCAAAGCAACTTCATTCAACTCTAACTCCATTGTAAATGCATAGTAAAGAGTAATGCATTTAAAAAAAAAGTCAGTCATTTTCAAAGCAACACAGATGATCATTGATTAAAATCCAAGTCTTGGAATGGGGGTGGGGGGGGTGGGGGTGCTTGAAAAAGTGCAAGACATCAGATCCAACATCCAAACATTTTTCTACCCCAATTCATATTGTCAATTCATACCCCAATTCATTGTCAACTAAAATGCCTTTCCTCCAACAGCAAGTGATATAAAAAAAATTTAAGAAAAAGTTTGAAAACTATAGACCAGAATCAACAGCCAAGCAAAACTGCTTCACATGATATCATTATACACATTACTCTGTAGAGAATTTCAATCCATCGATATTGAAGCACAGCCAAATTGATTGCCCAGAATAAAACAAGAAACACAAAAAAAAAACAAATTTTAGAAAATGACAAAGAAAAACAACAGCAATTTTAACAAAAGTGGAAAAATTACAGAAGCTAACTATTGTGAATCAATGCATTAGCATTAAAATAAACTTTTGAAGTCACTAACCTGCTGTGCCCTTTGTCTGTAGGGAAAATACGTATAGATTTATCAAAGCTGGCTGAGACAAATTCTTTTCCTGTTGGAGAGTAATCAACATCAAGTACTGCCGATACGTGATCCATGTGCACCATTAGAGGACTATCAAGATAGCGCATGTCAAATGTATATAAGCTGCATGGAGGGAAAAAAAAAATTGAAGAATCAATCTGCCATCAGATACTGAATTGTAGGTAAATTTTTTTAATACAATAAAAAGGAAAAGGAAAAAGATCTATTTGCCCTTCTTGTGTTTTGGGAAAAAAAGATAACAAAACAAAATCAACAGCATTTAAAGAATATTATATACACACAGATTAAAGATGACTACAGACATTAGCACAAAAAATGCAACCTGACATTAAACACTGCCTGCCAAGTTCTTTATCATGTCATTACCCATTTTGATCTTGCTTCACAAATACTAATACTTCTAACATTGAGCATTTCCGTTTGAAAGTCCTGCAATTTTTGAAGTTCTTCACCTTATTGAAAGAAATCTTCAGTTCTGAAGAAGTCACACCGAACTCGAAATTTAACTCTACTTGTCTCCCCACAGACACTGTTAGAGCTGCTGAGGTTGTCCAGCATTGTGTTTGCTTCAGATTTCCAGCATCTACAGTATTTTGCTTTTATTTTAATTTTAATTATCTCTTAACTGAACCTTTTTCCAACTCCCCCATCCTTCGCATTATCGATTTAAACCTCCTTTGTATCTTTTCCAGAGCCTCACATACTTAGTACTGTGGGGTGACCCAAATTTACATAATAATCCAGCTGAGATGGAATTAAAAAGAGATGTAAAGGATTAGCATGATTCCCTTATTTTTATATTCAATTATTCTAAAATAAGTTATTTAATCTGCATATTAAATGGTCTTCACACATCCAAAGATTTGTGAACATGTGCCACCAGGTTCATGCGCCCCTCTAAAATAACACCGGCTAAATTATATTTCATTCCGTTGTTACTTGTCCCAAAATGCAGCTCGTCAAAATTAACTGCATTGAATTAGATTTGTCAATGCTCAAATAAAGCTTGCTTTTATCATGCTCACTGCTTAACACATCACACAGGGTGTGCAATTCTATCTACAGTCCAAGTCTGTTTACGTATACTACAAAAAGGCATAGGCCTAAAATCAAACTCTGGCACACCTAAGCATGCTTTCCTACAGCTAGAAAAACATTTTTCATCATTCTGATTTACCTCTTTAGTTCCTATTCCTTTGCTATGGCTTTTGGACCAGAAATTATCAACACATCTTAGAAAAAGTACTTTGACATATCTACATACCTCTTCACAATCACCCCAACTCTAAACTACATATCAGAAGCCAAACAAACCTTTGTGCTTAGAGGAGACATTTTTATGCATGAGCAAGGTAACTATTTTCTGCATTTAAGTACTGCTCTGATATTTAAAATTTCACATATTCATTCTAAACTTTATTCTGGACTGAGTAAATGCAAATGAATTTACAATTTGGGTCACGTTAAATGTGCAAGGTATTCAAGCAAAAATGTTGCAAGTTCTTACTAAAGAAAAGTATTAAAAATACATGAACAAAAGTGATGGCAGACAGGTATCTCTGTAACAGTGATCATAAGGTCTGCATGGCACGTTGTCTCCTTAGTGTCACGATAAAGCACGTTACAGAGAGGGCACAGGATACTCTGCAGTGGATAAGTGAGCCAGAGGTTCTGGTACACCTCATTAACAATGAAGGAAAGGGGTGTATTGAGGTTCAAACAATATTTCAGAAGCTAGATAAAAAAAAATTTAAAAAGATGACCTCAAAAAGGTCATAAACTCTGAATTATCTCCTGTGCCTCACTCTAGCAACAAAGGAATTCTGAAGATAGAAATAATTAGTGCACGGCTTGAGGTCTGGTGCAGGGAGCATTTGTGATTCCTGTGCATTAGGACTAATTATGGGGCAGGAGGTATCTACTCAAAAGTGATGGGTTGCACTTTAAAGAGAGTTCACAAATGTGGATGAGTAGTATTTAAACTAAACTGGCAGACATATGGGAACCAGCGTACTGAATTAGAAAAAGAGAACAAGGTATAAAAATTGAGTGTTCTGGACAATACTAGAGAGTAAAAACACTTCCTATGTTAGGTAGTAATACATATAAGGAGGGCTCCGAGGTCTGGAAAATAGGTTAGAATGCACACAATGTATGGGGAGTAATATTGATGGACAAGAAGCACAAAATAGCTTTGCAGAAATATCATGTAGTGGCAACAACAGAAATGGTGAGAACTAGGCACTTTGTATTCAAGATGGCAGTTTTGATTAGTGAAAACCAGGTAATGCGTGAATAAAAGGCTCTCCTTAATGGGGATACACAAGAATCCATTTGCTTAGAGTTGAGGAGCAAGAAAAAGAAAGTCATGCTACTAAGGATATTCTAAAAGGGTTCCACAAATGAGAAGAAAATGTTCAGGGAAAACACAAAAGCAAGGAACAATCTAAAATAGGACTAGCTTTAGTGGTATATCTTGGCAGAGAAAAATGGAACCAAGGATAGACAAGAAAACTATTAGAATAATGGATAATGAAGCAAACGGACAAATGGAGAAGGACATGCTTCAGATACAAAGCCACAGCCATTTAAAAGAAGAGCGAGATAAAGACAACGATGAAGCAAAAAGAAAGTCTGATGCATGTCAGATGACTTCTTCAAGCAAGAACCAAGTCAAAGACAGTAAGTTGAAATAGAAGATGAACAGAAAAAGACATTTGTAGAGAAATGAGAATATACATAAAAGGGGACTCAAAATTTTTTTAACCAATATTTTAATACGAAGTAGTTTGAGAAAGGCTGATGGTATACACTAGAACAAAGTACTTTGAGTCCTTATTAAGGAAAAGGAATCAGAATCTAATAAAATCTCAGTATAAAGTAAGACATTAGAGGTAACATCAGAGTGAAAACTGAAAGGCAGGATGCACTAGGAAGTCTGGTGGTGCTTAATGTGGATTATTCACCCAATCCAGATGGCTTGCAACCCAGATTGCTGTGTCAAGCTATTGGAAGAGCTTGCCAATCTTCTCTAGATGTTTGGAGGTGCCAGATGGTTGGCAAGTGGCAAATGGCAAATATGCTGCCATTGTTCAAGAAAGGGTTCATGAGTACATTCGTATTAACTAAATACCAGTCAGTTTAACATTGAGAGTAAGATTTGAGAACCAATCGCGGGCAGATGAGGCTTGAGGGGTTAAATGGCCTAACCTTGCTCTTAAATCTTCTGTTATTGTGTGGAGTTGTGAAAAATGGTTGGAGAATGGTCAACGGTCATCGGTCATGCTCACCATGGATCAGTGCAAGAATTTCAAAATTTTCCAATGATATACTTGCTGGTGTTGCAAACAGAAGAGAAACCAATTTACTGCAATAAAGAGGTAATGTCTGTTTGCTTAGATTTTTGATGGTGCCATGAACTGAATATTTAGTTAGTCATGCACACAAAATCTTGAGCTTCATGAATAGGAGGTATTGAGAACAAAAGCAAGGAAGCTTTGCAGAGCCTTTATAAAACTCAGCTCAGGCAACAAAAGTATTATGCTCACTTCTAGTTACTACATTCTGGGATGGGTGAGAGTTAGAGGGTGCAGAGGACACTTATTAGAATGGCTTCAGAGAAGAGGGAACGTAACTCCAAAGTTAGGGTGCAGAAGCTGTGGCTATTCCCCTTTTCTTGAGGTGGTATTTGATAGAATTGTACGAGGTTAAAACAGGTTTACACAAGGTAGACTAAGAAAAGCTGTTCCAATTAGCTGGTCGTAAAAGGACTAGAGGACAAAGACTTAAAGTTTAGGCAAGAAATGCAGAGGAATGAGAGGAACAACTTTCTTAATGCATTGAGTGGTAACAACCTGGAATTTGTTGCTTACAAGAGTCATAAAAGCAGAGATGATGAACAATTTCAAAAAGGAAATGGGATGGAAACTGGAGGGAAGTACATGCCAAAGATTACAGGCATTTAGTGGAAAATTAGATCTGATTGAATTGTTCCACATAAAGATGGCATGTATTAAATGGGCTGAATTGCCTCCTCCTTTGCTGTAATACTAACAGAAAAAAATTCAAAAGAAAGGAGTGGGGAGGATTTTAAAATTTTGAAACTGAAAACAAATGATTTTTTTTTCAAATCTTCTTCTTCAAGTAATAATGGAAACAAAGTTTTAATTCTCCCTCACTAAATACTTAGAACAAGTCAATTTAGCATTGTTATTGGAGCAAAACAAAGGCATACGTGCGGTTGCCGTTTGTTATATGGCAAAAGACTTGCAATAAAAAACTGAAATTTCTCAAAACAGACAGTACTAAGTGAACAATTTGTTCACTCGTTATCAACAATAAATTCCCATCAACTACTTTAAAAGAAATCAATGAACCTTGAATATCATCCATAAAATTAAATGTAGTGCACTCAGATTTTGGCTGCAACTTTGTGCAGTAAGCACAATCTCCATGAAGTAGTACAACAAAAGCCTTCCAAAACAAAACATAAGTGAGGTCCAAGAGCTAAGTATTGTATTCTTCTGGCCTCACATGGTAAATAATGCAAAAACAAGGGAATAATAGATGGTTACTTTTATCTAGGACTTGGACAATAAAACTCAATGGAACTTAGCAATCAAAGCTGGTCTGAATGCTGCAAGAATACACAGCTGTCCAGTTTGGAAAGGCTATCTTGCTCCCTTACAGACCAAATGAAAATGTCCTCCCTTACTCCTCCTCTCTGTCTTCTAATGGTCAGTTATTTATCAAGGGTAATATACTACCTCCAACTCCATGGGCTCTTATAAGTAGTCTAACATGCAGTAACTTATCAAACACCTTCTGGAAGTCTAAATATATTACATCCACTGTTTCCTTATTATCCATCCTGTTTTTCAAATAATTATGATAACAATAATAACAATAATAAAGATAACTTTTTCCCAGGGCAGAAATGACTATTACAAGGGGGCATAATTTAAGGTTATTGGAAGATGGTATAGGGGAGATGTCAGAGGTAGGTTCTTTACACAGAGTGTGGTGCGTGCGTGGAATGCGCTGCTGGCGGTGGTAGTGGAGTCAGATACATTAGGCACACTTAAGCGACTCTTGGATAGGCACATGGATGATAGTAAAATGTAGAGTACACACGGTAGTTTGATCTTAGAGTAGGATAATAGGTCAGCACAACATTGAGGGTCAAAGGGCCTGTACTGTTCTATGCTCTATTAACTTTGTCTGGCATGATTTTCCTTTCATACAACCATGTTTACTCTACTTGATTATATCATGGAATTTTAAATGCCCTGCTATTACACCCATTATAATAGATTAACATTTTCCCGATAACAGATGTCAAGGCCTTCAGAGACGGTCCCTAATTTTCAAACATCTGACTTATGAAAGCTTGAACGAGATCCCATGCACGGACGTATGAATATTTATTTTAAAGATCCAACATGCGAACATTTGTATATAATTACAAATGCCTATTTTATATTGTTCTATATCACATTCTGACTTGTGTACAAATTGACTTGCGAATGTACTCAAGAACAGAATCCATTTGTAAGCCAGGTACTGCCTATAGGTATGTGGTTTTGATCCGCTTTCCTTCGGTAAGACCTAAACACAAAAAGGGAATGCTCTTCCCATTGAGAGTCTGCAGTACACTGCCCACAGTCAGGTTGGATACAAGGGTCTGGCTTAAATGTGTCTACTGGATAGATTATTGATAATTTCACCTCGTACCAAGCCTACATATCTGTCCTTCTATCTATCTTTTACAGTCTGGGGGTCTATAGTACACTCTCAGTAATGAACACAGCCACTTTTTGTTTTTAAGTTCCAACCATGTGGTCTCAGTTAAGGAAGGCCGGAGATATCATTCCTTCTTAATGAAGTAATGGACTCCTTGGCCAAGAGTGCAACACCACATCTTTTATATCCCTCTCTGTCTCACCTGAAGATTCTATTACCCAGAATATTAAGCTGTCAGGCCATCCTCCCACCCACTGCCCCTCAGCCTTGTCTCTGTGATAGCAACTATTTCATATGGTGAGGAAGACTAAACAGGCTTGTCGGCTAGATGATCAGCCATAATCATATTGAATAGGAAACAGGCTCAAAGAATGGAATAGCCTATTCCTGTTCCTACATTCTATGTTTCTGCGCCTCCATGTGTTAACAAATACCCTCAATTTATCTGCTCTACTCGCACTACTCCTCCGTGTTAAAAGAATCCCATCCAGCTTTGCCTTGCTTTCTTGTATCTTAACCTAATTATATATGCTCTGCCTTCTAGAAGAACTCGTTTCTCCTTCCATATTTGGTTGTGCGTCACCCCTATTCTAACCCCTTAACAAATCAGTGTTACCCCTCTACCACCAGTGCTGGCAAATGTCCCACCCCAAGCAAGGATGTCTATCCGATTTCAGTTTGGCTGTAATCCATCAGATTTGTACAGATGCTCACTTAATCAGAAACTGACCCACTGATCCAGGAATGTATAGCCTTTCTTCCTGCTCCAACTCTTCAGCCATGCATTCATTTGCTCTATCAGCCTATTCCCGTGCTCACTAGTGCATAGCACCAGGTGCAAATCAGAGACGACAACCCAAGGACCTGGTTTTCAACTTGCTAACTAGCTCTCTAAATTCTCATTGCAGGACCTCATCCTGCATTGTTGCTACCAATGCAAACCACACCTCTGGTTGTTCTCCTTCACATTCAGAATGCCTTGCAGTTATTTAGTGACATCCTTGATATCAGCCTCAGCTTAGTAATACAACATCCTGGAGTCACATTTGCAGCTGCAAAAATGCCTCTTTGTACTCCTTATGGTTCTCCATCTTTCTTCTGCTACCTTGTGTAGTGAGACTCCAGTTGCACTCCTCAGAGGAACCATCACTTGTATCTAGATGCACCATGGGGCTTTCCTGACTACTTGCCTGCCACCTTTCTTCTGACTGGTAATTGATCAACGATTCCCTCCCTGAATGCATTTCCTTCAGCTGCAGGGTGACCATATCTAAAAAAACATGCTTTCCATGCACTACAACGCCTCCAGCTGACACTCAAGCTCCAAAACACTGTGTTCAAGCTGGTCCAACAGGTGGCACTTCCTACAGATGTGGTCATTCAGTGCAGGGAGCATCCCAGACTTCCTGCTTGTTCCAGGCTGTGCAACACACATTGTGGAAAATAAAAACTCATGGAAGAGGTGGTAGAATACTGGCAAGGATAGAAGATTATTTAGTAGATTATTATTCATGTACAGCAAACAATTAGGAAAGCTAAAAGAATGTTGTCATTTATCACAAGGAGAAACAAATAAAAAAAGTAGAGGGGTTGTTTAGTTGTACAGGGCACCGGTGAGACCACATCTGGAGTACTGCGTACAGTATTAATGTCCTTAATGAAAAAAGGATGCAAATGCACTGGAAGCAGTTGAACGTTTAACAGACAAATACTTGGAGTAAGTGGCTGGTCTTATGAAAAAATATTGGACAGGCTAGGCTCATACCCACTTAAGCTACTGAGTAAGAGGCGACTTCTTTGAAAGATGCATGATCCTGAGGGGTCTTGACAGGTCAGATGTGAAGGTAATTTCCTCTCATGAGAGAATACTGATTAGAGTTCTCTGTTTAAACATTAGGGGTTGCCCACATAAAACAGCAATGAGACTATTTTTTCTCTCTCAGATGGTCATGAGGTTCATGGAACTTTCTATCTGTAGAGGTGGAGGAAGAAGCAGCCTTGAGCATTTTAAGCAGGTAGATAGATTTTGGCAAAAAAAAAAACAAAACAGGAGAGAAAAAAAAATCAAAAATTGGCAGAATGTAGATTTGAGGCCATAATTTGATTTAATTTATTACAGTCATATGTACCTAGGTATAGTGAAAAGCTTTGTTTGAGTGGAGTACATACAGATCATACCATACAAAGGTCATAGATAGAACAGAGCGAGGATACAAAGTTACAGCTGCAAAGAAGGGGCAGGAAAAAAAGCAAGATCGAAATTCGATTTGAATTTTGAGAGTCCATTCAGAAGTCTAATCAGAGCAGCCGTGATCTAATTTAATGGAGGAGCAAGCTTAAAAAGGCTGACTAGCTTATTCCTGCTCCTTGCTTGTATGTGCATTCTGAAACAAACTAATTGAGAGTTTTCAGTTGATGCAGTTTTCAAACAAAAACATCTTCTTACATTAATCAGTTGAATCAATTAAAAGTAGATTTACTGTCAATTACACATTTGGACAAGGCCTCTTGTGAAACTAGTTGCTTTGATTTGGTGAGGGCAAAATTCAATACCTGATTTCATGACTAGAGGAATAATTTCATGAAACAGGGTCTATTACTTGCTATTCCCTGCATTACATCCTCCTTTATAATGTAACTGCATTGAATGCTTGTGTATGACTCCCAGGACGAAATTTTAAGACAGCCACTGAATTCTCACACAGAGGAACAGATGTATTCCTTTTCCTTGCTTTTGACTTTAAACCATGGTAATATTTTTGCAAAAGGAATTACTTGTAATCCTCATTCGCTCCTGTAAAAATGAAGGCCTCCAAGGGGTTCCAACATATAGCATTGGTTCGTAGGTCCATAACAACCTGTTAAAATACACGAGACAGAAAATAAAAAAAAAACAAACATAGGTATGTGTGGCAATTTAATTCTATTCAATACAACAGCTGAAAATATAAAATGCCATACCTTTTTCAAGGGCGTTGCCTGTCTTATGTCATACAGAGCAATATTTCTATCCGAGGCACAGCTTGCAAGAAGATAAGTCTAAGATGGAACACAAATTAATGCAACATTTAACACCATTCTATGTCATGACTGTCCCCAAAACTAACAACATATAATCAAGTTTGTTCAAGAATCAAAATGAGCCATTAAGAATAGCTAACAAAAAGGCAAGCATTTACCTCATCATTTGTATTTGAATACATGTTTAAAGCACATACAGCAACTGAATTTAATGTCCAATTTTCTCAGACACACCAGGAACAATAGGAAATGCTGAACTACAACTAGAAAAAAGCTAACAGTCCCATAAACATTGATAACTGAAAAATGGTCAGGTTTAAAGACCCACAAACATCGCTGGTTTATGGTGACTGAATTACGATGTTACATTTTTATTCAATGCTAGTATTTCCTGTCGCTGTGTTTTTACATTTCTGGAATACAAGCATTGCAGGCAAGGCCAATATTTTCTTAATTATACTCGAATAGATGGTGGTGAGCCACCTTCTTGAATTGCTGTTCATCTGGTGCAGGTACATCCATAGTGCAGTTAAGAAGGGAGTTCCAGGATTTTAATTTAGGAACCATGAAGAAATGGTGCTACTGTCCAAAGTCACAATGGTGCGACTTGCAGTGACATTTGTAGGTGGTACTGTTCCTATAAGTAGCTGCACTTGTTCTTCTAGGTGGCAAAGGTCAAAGGTTTAGAAGGTGTTGTGGAAAGAGCTTTGCTGTGTTGCTGCATTGCATCTTGTAAATAGTAAACACTGCCGCCATTGTAGGTCACTTACAGAGGTTGTGAATGTTTAGGGTGATGGATGGTGTGCTAATTAAGTGGGCTGCTCTGTTCTGGATGGTGTCAGACTTTGAGGCGAGAGTTCTGCACTACAGAATTCCCAGCTTCTACTTGTTCCCATAGCCACTGTAGTGGGTTTGGAGTTTACACAGGAATAGGAGCAGGTAATTCAGCTGAAGTGCTAGGATAAAAAGTAGCTCTCACTGGAAGCTATTATATTTTAGAAATAAAACAATATATACAAAGTCAAATTGATTTTGATTGTTCATACCTCAACCCCCTCTCCCTTAATACACTGAATCTCAGACTTGGCAATTTCAAGTACTTGGCATTCACAGATTTTTGGAACGAAATTTCAGATTTTTCATTATGCTTTGAGAGAAGTTTCTGATTTTATTAACTGGTTGAACTCCCACTTTTAATATTAAGTCTCTTTCAATATTTAGTATTATGCATCCTTCAAACAAATACATACATGACAAAACACTGACTGCAGTTTCCTGAGGAGCATCACTTGTCTCAATCTGAAAATCTGAGAAGCTTTCTCTGAACTCTAGGCTCTGTACGTTACAAGAATCTATTTCACATTGCTGGTTCAAATTCAATGCACTTTCATTATCTAACAAGCTTTCCTGCAAGTAAGCACAGATGTCTTTATCATCTGAAGAACTGAGAATGGTGCTGAACACTGAGAATGACATTCTTGGGTGACTTGAGGATATCACCTGGTTGCATGGATCTGACATCACAAGTCAATCAAAAACTGAAGCAGCCACACTGTTGGCAAAATATTTAAGTTAAGAGATGCTAAGCATGACTGTGGGTTACAAGGTGATAAGAAATAAGAGCAAGATGGTGCCACAATTGCTCTTAGGGTGGTGGTGTGGGGATGAAAGATAAATCCTCAGCTAAAGTAAAATGGGACCTATCCAAAACATTAGAGTGCCAGGTTGCATTGCCAGACAGATAAAACAGATGGGAATGATGCCGTTAAACTTAAAAAGGGCGCAGAAAGGATTTGTAAGGATGTTCCCAGGGTTGGAGGGTTTGAGCTATAGGGGCAGGCTGAATAGGCTAGGGCTATTTTCCCTGGAGTATTGGTGGCTGACGGGTGGTGTTATGGAGGTTTATAAAATCATGAGGGGCATGGATATGGTGAATAAGGACTTTTCCCCAGGTTAAGGGAATCCAAAACTAGAAGGCATAGGTTTAAGGTCGGGGGAGTATAGAAGGATATAAGGATCCAAGGTGCAGCTTTTACAGGTAGAGATGGCAGCTCATTCCATATACGCACCAGAGGCTGGTACAATTACAACATTTAAAAGGCATCATGAATGGGTACATGAATAGGAAGGGTTTAGAGGAGAGAAGGCCAAATGCTGGCAAATGGGACTAGATTAATTTAGGATATCTGGTCGGCATGGATGAGTTGAACTGAGGGGCCTGTTTCCATGCTGTATAGCTCTAAGACTCTAACAGAAAAACTGGAAGAATGGGTGGAAGAGATAAATTTTTCTTCATCTCAGTCCTAAACGGCCTTACCTTTATCCTTAAATGGTGACCCATGATTTTGTCACTCCCCACTCATTGGGAACATCCATCCTGCATTTATCCTGTCGCTGCCTGTTGGAATCTTATACATTTCTGAGATTCCCCTCATTCTTCTGAACTTTTGAACGTAGTTCTAACCGAACCAATCTCAAAGTGAATTATTGACAACTTCAATTGGAAATAATGCATCATGCAATAAAAATGCTCAAAGCTCCATAAAGCTACCCATTTACTTTAATTGAATTAGATTAAGTGAATTAAAGAAACCAGCTATTAAATTCTATAATCAAATATTTAAAACCTAATCTTGCCATCACTAATTGCCAAAAAAAAAAAAGTTACACTGGCAAAAACAACTAGGTACGAGCGTCCAAGTAATTAACTTCTCCTTAATTTTGTTGTGACGGGCATTTCAACTAGGTAATGGTTGCTACCAAAAAAATTGAGATCATCTTTTCACAAACTTGTTATTAGCGCTTGCTTTCTCGGCTGTAGTCAGGTTGGGATCAAAGAGCAATAATAAATTCAATTAAGATAAATAAGGAAACATTTTGACTTATTAATACACCAAATGTCAAACAATTCTTCTGCGATATGGCTAATGCCAACTTGTTGCTGCTGATTTCAGAGCGTTCCCCAAATGCATTAGGAAGCACTTTTGAGACAGAGGAGTAAATCTAAAGTTATACTGATTATTTGACAAATGCAAGTTTGCATCAAGTACAGATTATTGGTTAATATATCTACTTTACAAACATGTTTTCTGAGAAGACTTCAGAATTAATACTCCAGAACAAGCTATGTGCATTTAGTTACATGCCCATGTTATCCACATTTACAACTTATCCGTATCCAAATAAGATGACAAAATTTAATTTACAGTTTTATAAATAAATGTAAGTGTTAAGATGTGCTTGGCTAAGAGCTGATTGCTCAATTATTAAAATGATTTCCAAAAGTTGTTCATGAAAAATGAACAAATAAAAAAAAGCACTACAGATCCCATAAGAAAGTAATTTGTCACCACTGTAATAAGCTCATCCAAGTCAGAAGTCATGTGTTCAAGTCCTTTCTTAAAAAAATATCTTGAGCAGACAACCTGGGCTCACACAGGAGGAGGGAGTAAGGAACAATCTTTCAGAAGGGGTCCCTGAGCTGAAGTCACTCCAGCCAATGTTTTCAAGCTCATAATCCTAGACAATGACTTCCTAACCAGCAGAGAGAGAGTAAACTTCCCCTATTTATTAAAATTCTTCATACTTTAAAAATCTCAATTAAATGACCACTTGTTATTGCTACTTCAGTCCAAATGGTTTCAGTGGCTTAAATATGTGCCTAAATGCACAGCATGCTAACTGACCTAAGCTGGCAATGTTTCAAAATCAAAAATGGATGCAGCACTGACCCCTACAACAAACGGCAATAACCGTTTCCAAATCAACTAAAAATACAGCCAACACAAGAAAGTTGAATCACAAATATCAGACTGTTTTGTTTTTCAAATTATGGTTTGAGAAACGTACTAAACATGTACTAAACTAAAAGTTTCCCAGGAATGGCATTATAGGTTTAGTGTATTCTCTAAACATGTTTCACAGTGTACTGCTAATAGTTGAAGACAAAGTATTCTTGACCCCTGCTCACCAGTGTACAACACATTTCAATTTTCAAAGTAATAGACACTTGATAGTTATAGCCTGATAACAGGAAGGCTCAAAACCAATTTTATTCCAATAATAAATCTTTAAAAGAAATTTTGCAAGAACAACACAATTCCTTGTACGGTAACATCTAAACAAGTGTTAATCTTACTAGTCAAATGTTGTCTTGCTTGCTTTCAGTAAGTGACAGGATTTTTCTCAAAAGTAGCAGCATTACCTCTATTGGGTTGAATTTAATACTGTTGATACTGTCCACACTCCAAGTAAACGAGCGGATTGGGCTGGTCCTCTGCTCATCCCAAATGTCCACCTGCTGCCCACAGGTTGCAAATACACCATCCTTCCAATGGTGATCAATTCCAGTGTAAACAGTCTATGCACAAATATAGTCATCATGTTTACTTGGAATACAAAGCAAGCACACAATACTAAAAAATTATAACATAATGCCATGGTAAAATGCATTGTACTTTTAAAAGATCTGAAAATAGCTATTTGTTAAATGTTGACAATATGAAAATTCTAACATATTTCTTACCATTATTCCCTTTCAGTTGATTTAGTTTATAGGAGAAAAATTTTAGAGAACAATAACTGAAGGCAATGACAACTATTTTCAACAGAGGTAAGTGACAAAGTACCTGCATTTTCACACTTATTTCCTGCTCAAACTGTTTTACAAACTATTAAACAAATATAATAAACCATCAACTTGCTTCTTCCTTTATTCTTTTATGCGATGTGTGTTCCTGGAAAGAATATCATTTGCTGTCAATCCTGATCTGTCCTTGAGGAGGCATCTGATCTCAAGACATGTGGGATAAGGTAAATAAATTAGTTTAAAAGGGGACTTTTGTGCGCCCAATGAATTCTTATTCCATGGAATCTCCTTTATTTTTTGTTCTGGGATGATGTGATAGATAGAAAAATGGGGAGCAACACACTAGTAGTTGTTGAAATCATGACAGTTTGCTCCAGGAAAATTTTCAAAATTTATTCCTTACATCTTTTCCAGGCTTTGGTATGAACTGTAAACATTGGGATTTAGACGGTAGACATTGATTCACCTGATTATTTTCCAAACCCACAACCATTGCTTGAATAAGGAGCAAAGGATAACCCAGGAAACTGCAGTCTGGTCAGCTTGATATCAACAATAGTAAAACTGATGGAAGCCACAATATGGGATAAAGTAAATATACACCATATGAGATTGTCAAAATGGCTTTGTCAAGGGCAGGTCACGTCTGTCAAATTTGATTGAGTTCTTTAAAGAGGTGACACAGGCAGCGAATGAAGGTAAAGCTGTGGATGTTGATTATTTGGATTTCCAGAAAGCATTTGATGCGGTGCTGCAGAGCAGTTTAGTTAACAAATTAGAAATGTCTGAGATTGATGGGTTGTCAGGAGCATGAATTAGAAGTTGGCCAAAAGATAGGAAATAAAGGGGGGATATCGATGGGCATTTTTCAGATTGGAGACAAGTTGAAAATGATGTCCCCCAGGGATCAGTTTTGGAGATGGGTGTTGAGGGCAAAATGTTTAAAATTGGCAGATGATATTAAGTTGGGTAGAATGGTGAATTGAGGATGATGTTGAGCTACTTCAGACGGACAGAAACAAATTGGCCAACGGGCAGGCACCTGATAGATGAACTTCAATGCAGACAAATTTGGGGCAATGCATTTTGGTATAAGCAGCACGGAGAGACAATGCAGACTCAAATGGTACAATGTTGAGGGAGTTCAGGAGCAGAGAGACCGCACGGTTCACATACATAATTCTCTGAAGGTGGCCAGGCAAGTTGAAACAATTGCTAAGAAAACTTATAGGATCATTGAATTTATAAATAGAGGCATAGAGTACTAAAGCAAGGAAGTAATGTTGCAACTCCACAAATCATTGGTCAGACCACATTTGGAATATTGTGTTCTGTTCTGGGCAACTTATTTAAAAGAAAGCATCTTAAAGCCCTGGAGAAAGAGTGCAAAGGAGATTTACTAGAATGATACCAGGAATGAGAAATTTTAGATACAAGGAAAGATTAAAGAAACTGGGCTTATTCTTCTTGGAACAAAGAAGATTAATAGGTAATTTTATTGAGACATTCAAAATTGTGAACAATTTTCAGTGTAAAGACGGCTATTCTGTTTCCACTTGCTAGTATGTCAGGAACTAAGAGTGACAATTTCAAGATTGTCAACAAAAGACCTAGGAGTGAGATGAAGAGAAATTTTACTCAAAGTTGTTAGGATTTGAAATGCACTGCCCGAGAGACTGGTGAAGGTGGATTTCATGAGGTTTCGAAATTGAGCAGCAGATATAATTAAAAGTGATGAATCTAGAGGGCTACAGATAGAGGGCTGGAGAATGGAATTAACTGGGTAGTTCTTTCAGGAGCTAGTACAAAAATGGTGGGTCGAATGGCCTCCTTCTGTACAAGAAAATTCTACAATTCTCAATCTAGAAGCACAAAGGCAGCAGATGCATGGTTACACCACCACCTGCAAGCATCCCTGCAAGATACACACCAGCATCTAGCAGGGCCTAGCATGGATACCTGAACCATATGAAACTAGGATGCAGCTTGTGATAATTGGAAGAACAATTAGGTGAGAGGAAGGAAGTAATAACAGGACGTTTGGAAAATCAAAAAACGATCCATCAAGAGTCAGTATGATTTTATGAAGGCTAACTCATGATTGACTAATTTGCTAAAGGCCTTTGAAAGGTAACAAGCGAAGTAGATTGGCAGGATCCCATAGATGTAGTACACCTGGACTTCCATAAAGCATTTGATTGTGTGGCCCACAAAAGGTTAATACACAAAGTAAGATCACATTGGGTTGGGGTTAATTTATTAGCTTGGATAGAGGATTGGTTAACCGACAGAAAGCAAAGAATTTGGGATAAGTGGGTCTTTTTCTGGCTGGCAAAATGTAACTAGTGGGGTGCCACAGGTTTCAGGCCTCAGCCTCAACTACGTACAATCTATATTAATGACTTAGATGTATGTAGAAGGCATGACAGTCAATTTGCAGATGACACTACAACAGCTGGAAAAGTTGCAATAAAGAAATAAGAAATTTACAAATAGATATGGATAGCTTAGATGAGCCAAAATTTGGCAGATGGAGTTTAACGTGGTTAAGTGTGATCAATTTGTTGTCCATTTTAGTCAGAAGTACAGAAAGACAACCCATCAAATGGAGGGAAACTTTAGTGGAGAAGGATCTGGGTGTCATTGTACATGAATCGCAGGTACAACAGGCATTAATGAAGGCAAATGGAATTTTGGCATTTATTGCTAAAGGAACAGAACATAAAAGTGGGAAGGTGTTGCTGCAACAGTACAAGGCATAAGTGAGGCCACACATGGAGGAAGGGTCACTGGACTCAAAACGTTATCTCTGTTTTCTCTCCACAGATGTTGACACAACTGCTGAGATTCTCCAACAAATGATAAATGGTGTTGGAGTTTTGTGATGTGCAAATGGAAATAAAATTCCGACCTTTCAACCTCTGGTGTTCAATACTGACTGGGAGCTATAATTGCCATTCCTTCACTATTACTGATTCAAATCCTAGAATGCTTTTCCTAACAGCACTGAATGTGCCTAGACCTCAGTGACAGCAGCAGTTCAAGAAAGCAGCTCATCACCACCACTTTCTCAAGACCATTTAGAAATGGACAACTAGTCAGGAATGCCCATATCCACAACAAATTTAAGCAAAAAATTGTACACATACATACGAAACCAAAAAAGCACTTTTTGGTTGAAAGTGCACGATTTGCAATCTGTATCTTTGAATAAAAGTCCATAATTGGATTAAGATAGGCTTGAAGTGTTCTACCTTTCCTTACTTGACCATTAGAATTTGAAGATAGGGTGCTGAGTTCTACTCTACCTTCCACTAGCAAGGGTCAAGTGCAGACTGCTGACATCAACCATAAAAACTTTCCCAATCCGTGATATGGAGTGGAAATTATGTCAACTACATTTATGACAGCAGAGCATGAAAGCCAGAATTTCTCCCCACCGTTATGTGCTAGCTTGATACTTAATGTCTTTTAATGTTTAATGTTAAACTTACTGATTCATGCCATACATTTTTCCTTTATAGTTTTAGTAAAATATGTTGTACCTTGCCTAATATTGTGTGTATTGGTTCTTCTTGCTCCTCAAATGAAGGCCCCTCCATTTTCCATTGCTTGATTGTCTTATCATCACCAACCTTTCAAAAAAAAAAGTCACTAACTTAAGCTATTGTAATCAAACAAAGTTTTTTTATATATACGGTTATCACTTATACTAGTAAGGTACACGTTTAGAGAGCTAACAACATTTTTTTGTGTGACTGTAGTGCAGGTAATACAGATGAAAACTATATCAGTAAGAACAGGAGATTCGCAATGTGCTTTATATTTCTAACCAGTTCAATTCTAAATTTCATTCAAAATTCCTTCAAAGATAGCTCAGTACTTGTAGTTAGTCCAATTTGAGGACTTATTGGACCCATGACATGGGATGTGGATACCTTGACCTAGTATAAGTCATTGATTGAAGGATGATGAAACAAGACAAGAGTTCATTATGGTTTGTGGTATATAACCACGAATTTTGACCACATCCCAAGTAGCTTTCAACAAAATTATTTTTATTTTGCACAATTAAAAACTTAAATGTTAAAAACAGATAATACTTGCTTGATATCTAATGATTACATGTTTAAAAAAGGCGCATTTATTTTGCAAAGTGAACACAGTCTTAAGCATCACTGAAATTATTTCTCCCTCAATACACTTAAGATATACTGTCATACTTACTGAGAAGAAGAATGTACCACAGAATCTGGAACAGAGCCCTCTGACGAAACCAGTATGTGCTTGTACAGTGCGGATGCACTGACGATTCATTAAGTTCCAAACTTTTATCTATGAGAGAACAAACAAGATCCACATTACATCAAGAACTTAAAGGGAAAGACTCTCAGAGGAACAGACAGAATGAAAAAAAGAAATCTGGCAGTGGTCTTATCTATTGAAAATTTTGACTAGTTGGAACTTCTTAAAATTGCAATTCAGTTCATACAGAATGCACAAAAAGAAGATAATTTAACAAAGCGCAAATATTACAAATGAGGGCTATAAAAAGCAAAAAACTTATTTTTAATGAGTGATGGCATTGATTGGAATAACATCTGTACCATTGTTCAAATATGAATAAATATTTAAAGTAATTTATCTTAGCCCCAGAAAAGAACGCTGCAGCTGCAAAATACACTCAACTCGGTTCATGGAGTTGCTTATAGAAATGGCATCTCTTGAATCTATATTCTGATTGAAGAAAGAAAACTAACTTTATATCCACAACAAAACCATTTTTGCTCACAGACCAGTTGTACATCAGCCACACACTTCTGATGAAAGATCACAGAATGAAAGATTAACTCATGGCCTCTCTCCATAAACGTTTCCTGATGCGCTCAGCAACATGACTACCATAAGAAACAGGTGCAGGAGTAGGCTATTTGGCCCTTAAAATCTTCTCCACAGCCTGAAAATATTATGGCTAATCCAACGTGGCACATTCTTTCATACATCTTCTCCCCCATCCCTCCTACAAATAACCCGCAACACCCTTAATGACAAAACATTCATCTAACTTAGCCACAAACATAATCAATGATCAAGCATTCATAATCATAGAGTCAGATAGCAGAAAAATAAAGACCCATGTCTATGCTAACCAGCAAACACCAGATTACATTATTTACCCGCACTTGGTCAATAGCCTACAATGCCCTGACATTTTAAGTGCTCCTCCCGATGCTTCTTAAAATGTTGCTAGAGTACCAGCCTCCACTACTCTCTCAGGCAGTACACCTCTGGGTGAGAAATATTTTTCTCCAATCTCTTCTAAACCACTTACTCCTCACCTTAAACTTATGCCCTCTGGCCTGAGACATGTTTGCCACGGGGAATAGGTTCTCACAATCTACTCTATTTATGCTCTCATAATTTTGTATATCTCAAACAGATCTCCCCTCAGCCTCCTCTGCTCCAAAAAACAAACCCAGCCTAACCAGTCTCTACTTATATGAGACTTTTCATCCCAGACAACATCCTGGCAAATCTCCTCTATACCTTCTCCAGTGCAGTCACAACCTTCCAACAGTGTGGCAACCAGAACTGATAGTATACTATCGGGGCCTAAAACTAATACTGAAATTGAAGAAGGATCTAGGCCTGAAACGTCAGCCTTCCTGCTCCTCTGATGCTGCTTGGCCTGCTGTGTTCATCCGGCTCTACACCTTGTTATCTCAGATTCTCCAGCATCTGCAGTTCCTACTATCACTGAAATTGAAATGTTTTATTCATTGAAATTCTCTTCCTCCAACAGCAAAGACTAATAATCCTGACAGAAAATTCCTCCTCAGCTCCATCTTAAATAGGAGATCTTGTTTTTAAACAAACAGTGTCCCTGGTTCTAAATTTCCCATGGAGGAAATATCCTCTTAGCACAGATGATATCAAGCCCCCCTCAGAATCTTGAATGTTTTAATAATATCACCATTCAATCCTCTAAAGTCCAATGAATATAGGCCCAACCTGCCCAATCCATGTGGTACTTCACTAGGTAAATTTTCTGACAAAAATTATATATTTATCACAAAAATCTGTTTCCTGTTAGCTATTGAAGAACACTACTATTGAGGAAAACTCTATAATAGCCTTTCCAAACATTACTAAAAACAATGACAGACTTCATTGACATCCTAAATTACAAATTTTTCATGTTGTACTGCTTCCAGGTCAAAGATGGTCAGTGTGCAAGAGAATAGGGATGAGGAATAAAATATATTTTTTAGTTGCGAGGGGTAGAGGGCAAACATACATGATTAGTCGCAAAACAAAGCAGAACAAAACAACAGCAAAAGATGGGATGGAGACCCATCAATACAGGAAAATGGCGATGTGGAGAGGGTTTCACAATGGTCAGAGAATAAGATCTCTATTATTGGTTGTGAATTTTCATCAGACCTTGATCTGATGGACCTGAAATGTTAACTCTGTTTCTATCCCAAAAACCTTTCCACTTTGCCAGATTTGCCAGACTTGACATATATTTCCGGTCTTTTCTGTGTGTTGTTCAGATTTCCAACAGCTGTACTATTTTGTTTTTGTATCTTTCAAGTAATGTTTCTTTTATGACATCCATCATGCACAAATTAGTGTTTTGGAAAACTTCACAGAGTCAGAAGTTACACGACATCAGGTTATAGTCCGACAGGTTTATTTGAAATCACAAGCTTTTAGATTGCTGCTCCTTCATCAGGTGAAGTGGAAGGAAGGAAGCACATGGGCACAGAATATATCGGCAGAGAGATAACGGCAAGATAATTCCAAGTATTTAAGATTGTCAATTAATAAGTACAAATAGTGAGAATGGAGGGTCAACAGGCAGACTAATAGGTGAAGGGATGACCTATGAACTAATTAATTAAGGCAGAGAAATAATTACAAACAGTCAAAATAAGATGGTGCTAGAGACAAACTAAACGGCTAGAATAACATGAATAAGTATTCAGAGTCCCATGACAAGGGTCTATCAAGTAATTAAAAAAATGTACAAACTGATTAAGGTACTGAAATAATAACAAGGAATCAAGGATATTTCTAATTATTTGTAATTATTCCTCTGCCTTAATTAATCAGTTCATAGGTCATCCCTTCAACTTGTTATTCAGCCTGTCAACATTCCACTCACACTACTTGTACTTATCTGTTGACACCCTTAATTACCTGGAATTATCTTGCCATTATCTCTCCGTCGATAGATTCTGTGCCTGTGCACTTTCCTGCATTTCACCTGATGAAGAAGCAGCACGCTGAAAGATTGTGAATTCAAATAAACCTGCTGGACGAAAGCCTGGTGTCATGTGACTTCCGATTTTGTCCACCCCAGTACAACACTGGCACCAGCACATCAAAACTTCATAGAGCAGTGGATAATGAGTGTTGTAATTCCAGCTGATGATAAGACTGAACTTGATATTGCAAAATGAAACTTGGCTTGATAGACCACAAGTTTTCCTTATTTTTACAATTTGGTCAGTCACAGAGCATAATCGCAAGGGACTAGAATATTTATTATACACTGCAGCTCCCTTGTCTCGGAGATAACAAGAACTGCAAATGCTGGAGTCTGAGCCAACACAGTATGGAGCTGGATGAACACAGCGGGGCCAGGCAGCATCAGTGGAGCAGGGAAGTTGACGTTTCGGATCAGGACCCTTCTTCAGAAGTGTCTTATCACTTTCAACATGCCATAATGTGACTCTTTATCTTATACTCAATATTTTGTTTGAATTGGTGCCTCACATAGTAGAAGGAATTGTAGCAAGCTTATAAAATTGTGAAATGACAGTGACAGGTACAAGCAAACAAGAAGCAGTAACAAGGCTGGTCTGCTGCAGTGAAAGGAGCCAAATTCACAGGAGTACCATTCAGCAATGGTAAGGGTTACCGTATATGATTAGAACTGCATTTTGAATGATATAGCAAATCAAAAAAGAAATAAAATTAAAAAAAAAAACTTTTCAAAACAAGGGAACTAAAGGCCAGAAAACAAAATTAGGAAAATTTTAAAAGTCTGCTCAGTGTCCAGGTGTGGCATGTGGTTCACAGTCGATGCCTCTTGTTTATGATTTCTAAGTTAAAACATACATAGGTAAATGGAGACCCATTTTGGTGTCCCCTTCCAGGATCCAATCTGCACAAAACAAAACAGCCAGAAAGCTTTCAACTTTGTCTCAGACAGCTTTCCTTTCTAATCAACTTGAGCTCTTAAAATTTAACCATTCCTGCAGTACCTACACTTGAAGGTTTGATACATTATTACGATTTGGAAATTAGGTGCTAAGATAGACGGTATTGCTTTAAACTTGATTTGTAGTTATATATTATTTGTTAAACAGGGGAGATATATTTTTATGATTCACATATCACATATGATTCCAGACCTAAGCAATATGATTGATTCTTAACTGTCCTCTGGAAAATCAGAAATCGGCAACAAATGCTAGCCTAGCCAGGGTCTCCCACATCCGTGAATGAATTAATAAGAAAAAACACAGCACGGACTATGACAAATCCACTTGTCAATGCCCACAATCAATTCAAGCTGTGTCGACTCTACCACCGTAAAGCCAAACTGTATTTTATGAAAATAATTCATACAATCACCCACCTCGCCATTGCAAGCCCCAGAGATTATTGTGGATAAACTCTTAAAGTGTTTGGCCATACAATGCACTCCATCCCCATGACCATCCAGCGATGCTACAAAAGGTTTAGCAAAAACCCGTTCCAGTTTGGTTGCATTCAGCGCTCTCGTGTATTCCCTCGGTACCTCAAAAGGATGCAGTACAGGATCATAATTCCTTGGAACTGAGAGTATAAAAATTGGAGATTTAACAAATGAGAACAAAGTTAATTATTTTGAGTGCGAGTTATTTAATTATTATTAAAGTAAACATATCCTGTCAACAGTGGCATGCATCTAGACTGCACACCAATAACTCTCCTTTAACTTGATGCACCTCCTCTCTAGATCACACATGCAATCCTGGGTCTCCATGTGGACACTAGCACAAAACTTGTACTTTTGTTTTAATCTACCATGCATTTCTGGAATTTTGTCCTCATGCTCCACAGGCAAAGACAAAATTTGCATTTACTAAGTCTGCCATTTCCTGTTTTGCATTTACCGTTTGTCATTAAGGAATGCATAATTTACTGAGCCATCAGCAGCGAAGGACAATAGTTGCAGGTGTTGGAGGTTGGTCATCTTACTTCCAGGATATCACTGCAGCAGTTCCTAAAGGACTTTTTCTTAAAAAAAAAACAACCTTTTCAGAGATAACAAGGTGTAGAGCTGGATGAACACCCTGAAGAAGGGTCTAGACCCGAAACGTCAGCTTTCCTGCTCCTCTGATGCTGCTTGGCCTGCTGTGTTCATCCAGCTCTACACCTTGTTATCTCAGATTCTCCAGCATCGGCAGTCCCCACTATCTCTCAACCTTTTCAGAAATGTTATGATGCACCTCAGGAGTAAGTGGGACTTGAGAACTCGGCCTCCTGGCTCAGACATAGGGATGCTACCACTGTATCCTAGGGTTTCTCAATATAGTTTTTTTGAGCTCAACCTTTGAATTGAATTAGGTTTAGGTGTCAGACATACTCAAGTAAGTACAGTGAAAAGTTTAAAGTCGCCACTTATGGCACTATCTTAGGTACAGAATCTGGTGCAAAGCAGAAAAATAAAGGAAACAAAATTAAAAAGAAGTTAAAATTCTGTTCAGATGTGCTTTTGCACACCTTTGCAGTTGGAACTTGAACCCAGGTCTCTCAGCCCACATATAGAACACTACCACTGCACACCTACTCTAAAGTTCCGCAAAGTATGACTGAATGCTCCCAGGTCAAGTGTATCAGGTGAGAGCTGGTTTGACTTTGCGCTCTGATATTTTCTGTTCAGAGATGTTCTGATACTCCATTGAGGCAGATGTGAACCCAGGTCTCCTGGCTCAGAGATAGGGACGTTACCACTGAAACTCAAGAGTCCTCAAGTTTCTCAAGGTATGTTTTGTAGTGGAGATTGCATATGTGCTGACGCCAGCTGAGTTTCACAGAACGATGACAGCTCAGATGGAGTTTGTTCTTCCTGCTGTGTCATGCTGTCTGTCTGTAACACCTGTTTCCATCTTACCCTACTGGACCTGTTCTCTGTCCAGAAGCCAACACTCCACTGGAGAAGATTTTCTAATCAACTCCATTCAGAGATTTTAATCACACGCCTCTGGAGCAGGAGGGACTTAAATCTGGGTCTCCTAGTCCAGAGGTATGATACTATCACTGGATAACAAAAACACTAAAGCTCCTCAAGATAATATCCTATGCTCAACCCTTTTCAGAAATAGGGTTGTTTGCTGATGCTTGTGCGTGTCCTCAGGGCCACTCAACTCTGCAAATGGCTCAGCTTGGTAGAACAGTTAGCAAGGTTAGCTCACATGGAATCTACAGGGAGCTAGCTAATTGGATACAAAATTGGCTTGAAGGTAGGAGATTGTGGTGGTGGAGGGTTGCTTTTCAAACTGGAAGCCTTTAACCAGTGGTGTGCCACAAGGAATGGTGCTGTGTCCACTGCTTTACATAATTTATATAAGTGATCTGGATGTGAATGTGGGAGGTATGGTTAGTAAGTTTGCAGATGACACCAAAATTGGTGGTGTAGTGTACAGTGGAGGTTACCTCAGAGTACATTAGGAACTTAAACAGATGAGCCAATGGACCAAGGAGAGGCAGATGGAGTTTAATTTAGATAAATGGGAGGTGTTGCATTTTGGTAAGGCAAATTGGGGCTGGACCCTGGGGAATGATGCTGAACAAATGGACCTAGGGGTGCAGATGCATGGTTCATTGAAAGTGGAGTCGCATAGCAAAGGTGACATTTAGCATGCTTGTCTTCATTGGCCAGTGCATAGAGTATACCAGTTGGAATGTCATGTAGCAGCTGTACAAGACATTGGTTAGTCCACTTTTGGAATACAGGCAGTTCTGCTACAACGTGCATTTTACTAACACAAATTGACTGTAACACCATTGATGAATAGTGGACATTGTTTGGATAATGCAAGCTTTCTACTATACAGGTATAGCAAATTTCTATAGCGATTCCCTATAACACGATTTTCAATGGCAATGTTCTAAAGCACGATTTTCTTTAGCGCAAAGTCACACAAGAACACAACTATTGCGTTATGGAACAACTACTTGTACTGTGTTCAGTTCTGGTCTCCCTGCTATAGGAAAGATATTGTGAAACTTGAAAGGATTCAGAAAAGATTTACAAGGATACTGCCAGTATTAGAGAGTTTGAGCGATAAAGTGGCTGAATAGACTGGGGCTATTTTCCCTGGACCGTTGGAGGCTGATACCTGGCTGGCCTTATAAAAGTTTATAAAATCATGAGGGACATAGAGAAGGTGAATAGTCAAGGTCTTTTCCCCACAGTAGGAGAGTCCAAAACTAGAGGGCAGAGGTTTAAGGCGAGAGGGGAAAGATTTAAAAGGGACCCAAATGGAATTATTTTTCCACATAGAGGATGGTGCGTGTATGGAATGAGCTGCCACAGAAAGTGGAGGAGGCTGGTACTATTTCAGCATTTAAAAGGCATTTGGACGGGTACATGAATCGGAATGTTGTAGATAGATAATGGGCCAAATAGGACTAAATTAATTTACGATATCTGGTCGGCATCGACGACTCGGACAGCAGGGTCTGTTTCCGTGATATATATCTCTAGAACTTTATGATCCTATGTACTTTCCAGGGGCCTAAAATTCAACTTGCCTTCCCTGATGCAACTCTGTCCAGCAACACACGACAGCTATCCAGTCTGCGCACCCCAACGCGTACTCCAAAACACATGGCCGCTGGCTGGCCAGGCCCAGGCTTGCTGTGGTAATGTGAATAAGGAACCCGGCCTCCCCCACCACTTACCTCTCTGAATGTCATTCTTCGTTTCTCGAACGTAATCGTCCGGATTGCGGGACAAGATCTTCACCTTCATCACGTGGGAAGCCAATTCCAGTCTAGCCGACCACCAGCGACTATGTAAATCGTATCAAAACTCGCTTTCAAATTTGGCCATGACCTCCGTCCGTTTGATAGAACACGAATCACCAGGCCCCGCCGTGAAAACGTTGATGCAGGGGGCGGAGCGATAGCGGCGCACTGACCTTTGCCCTCTGAAGCGCGTGCGTGGCGGTTGCGCTCCCTTCTGTCGGTGTCGTTTGTTGTCTGACACCAAGGGGTTCCCTCTGATCGCTGAGAAGAGGAATGTCCTCAGGAGCCGGCCAGGCCCCCGAAGCTGAGCTGAGCTGGACAGCCGCGCTGCTCCGGTTCTTGGAGCTGGTGAAGTATGAGAACCTGGCGGCCGGTGTCAGCGGCGGGGTAGTCTCCACGTTGGTGCTGCACCCGCTCGATCTGGTCAAGATCAGGTTCGCAGGTAAGAGGGTGTTCTGAATTTTACTGTGTCTCACCCACAATCTCTGGTTAAAACAGAGAGGGATTATCATCAGCGGACATTCTGACACTCACACTCAGGGGTGGCCGAGATGTTAGCCAGTCCATGGTGGCGATATGTGCCAGCGTGGTGAAAGAGTGAGAATAAGGCGGCCTGGCTGGTTGGGTTTGTGGGCCTGAAAATGGGCCGGGGGAAGAGGGGTCCGGGGTTGGGGGATGGGGTGAGGATGTTACTGCACCCCGGTCATTGCCGGGCGAACCCCTGGGTCACTTTGAATGATTGGTAGCAAGCTCCTGCCTCCCAGTCATTAATGTCGATGGATTCGTGCTTTAGGATGACGTTAAGGCATATATGGATTCTTGGTCATTTGAGAATTGAAAGAAATGTTGTTTTGGTTATTCAGTTATGGTATCCAGCCCATTTACCTGATTTTGCAGGCGTTGTGCCTCAATGCTGTGGAGTTGATTTCAAGGACACTTTATTCGGTGGGTTTTATTGAACCTGAAGGATACAGCAGAGTGAACATAGAACGTAGAACATTACAGCGCAGTACAGGCCCTTTGTCCCTTGATGTTGCACCGACCTATGAAACCAATCTGAAGCCCATCTAACCTACACTATTACATTATCATCCATATGTTTATCCAATGACCATTTAAATGCCCTTAAAGTTGACGAGTCTACTACTTTTGCAGGCAGGGCATTCCACGCCCTTACTACTCTCTGAGTAAAGAACCTACCTCTGACATCTGTCCTATATCTATCACCCCTCAATTTAAAGCTCTGTCCCCTCGTGCTAGCCATCACCATCCGAGGAAAAAGGCTCCCACTGTCCACCCTATCTAATCCTCTGATCATCTTGTATGTCTCTATTAAGTCACCTCTTAACCTTCTTCTCTCTAACGAAAACAGCCTCAAGTCCCTCAGCCTTTCCTCATAAGACCTTCCCTCCATACCAGGCAACATCCTGGTAAATCTCCTCTGCACCCTTTCCAATGCTTCCACATCCTTCCCATAATGCGGTGACCAGAACTGTACGCAATACTCCAAGTGCGGCCGCACCAGAGTTTTGTACAGCTGCAACATGACCTCATGGCTCCGAAACTCAATCCCTCTACCAATAAAACCTAACACACCGTACGCCTTCTTAACAACGCTATCAACCTGGGTGGCAACTTTCAGGGATCTATGCACATGGACACCGAGATCTCTCTGCTCATCCACACTACCAAGAATCTTACCATTAGCCCAATACTCTGTATTCCTGTTACTCCTTCCAAAGTGAATCACCTCACACTTTTCTGCATTAAACTCCATTTGCCATCTTTCAGCCCAGCTCTGCAGCTTATCTATGTCCCTCTGTAACCTGCAACATCCTTCCGCACTATCCACAACTCCACTGACTTTGGTGTCATCCGCAAATTTACTAACCCATCCTTCTATTCCCTACTCCAGGTCATTTATAAAATTGACAAACAGCAGTGGCCCCAAAACAGATCCTTGAGGTACACCACTAGTAACTGAACTCCAGGATGAACATTTCCCATCAACCACCACCCTGTGTCTTCTTACAGCTAGCCAATTTCTGATCCAAACTGTTAAATCACCCTCAATCCCATGCCTCCGTATTTTCTGCAATAGCCTACCATGGGGAACCTTATCAAACGCTTTACTGAAATCCAAATACACCACACCAACCGCTTTACCCTCATCCACCTGTTTGGTCACCTTCTCGAAGAACTCAATAAGGTTTGTGAGGCACGACCTACCCTTCACAAAACCGTGTTGACTATCCCTAATCAAATTATTCCTTTCTAGATGATTATAAATCCGATCTCTTATAATCCTTTCCAACACTTTACCCACAACCGAAGTAAGGCTCACTGGTCTATAATTACCAGGGTTGTCTCTACTCCCCTTCTTGAACAAGGGGACAACATTTGCTAGTCTCCAGTCTTCTGGCACTATTCCTGAAGACAATGATGACATAAAGATCAAAGCCAAAGGCTCTGCAATCTCCTCTCTAGCTTCCCAGAGAATCCTAGGATAAATCCCATCCGGCCCAGGGGACTTATCTATTTTCACACCTTCCAGAATTGCTAACACCTCCTCCTTATGAACCTCAATCCCGTCTAGTCTAATAGACTGTATCTCAGTATTCTCCTCGACTACATTGTCTTTTTCCTGTGTGAATACTGACGAAAAATATTCATTTAGCTCTTCTATCTCTTCGGACTCCACGCACAACTTCCCACTACTGTCCTTGACTGGCCCTAATCTTACTCTAGTCATTCTTTTATTCCTGACATACCTGTAGAAAGCTTTAGGGTTTTCCTTGATCCTACCTGCTAAAGACTTCTCATGTCCCCTCCTGGCTCTTCTTAGCTCTCTCTTTAGGTCCTTTCTGGCTAACTTGTAACTCTGAAGTGCCCTAACTGAGCCTTCACGCCTCATCTCTACATAAGCCTCCTTCCT